CATTCCCAGTAGTAGCTATTGGTAAAAATGAACCTCTTTTTTTTTTTTCTAGTCAAACCCTATCATTCTTCAAGAAGCTGCTCTACCTATCCATGTAGGTTTGCCTGACATCCCGTAACATTTTTTTTTTTTGTCTGCACAACTCTTTTGATACTTATGGACATACTTCACAATTTTTTCACATTTTAGCATTTCTGAAATTGGGGTGCATCTTGACATGGGTGATGGATCATAGTTTGTGTTTTATTTTTTTCTTTCTCAAGGGTGCATACAATTAAGGTGCATCTTAAAATTGTTAGCATCTTAGGGGGCGGCCGGTTAGCTCAGGTAGTTAGAGTGCAGTGCTCATAACACCAAGGTTACTGGTTCGATCCCCACATGGGCCATGGAGCTGCGCCCTCCACAACTAGACTGAAGACACTTATTTGACTTGGAGCTGATGGGTCCTGGAAAAACACACTGTTCCCCAATAAAATCCTTTTAAAAAATAAAATTGTTGGCATCTTAGATTCAATGAAATATGGTAGGTGCTGCCTTGGTATTTAATAGTCTGGGTATATCATGTTAAGACTAGGTAGAAATAGTATAATGATGGCTTAAAAAATAACTAAGGCAGGAATAGTTAGTGCTCACAAATATCCTTGTGCTTCTCCACTTGTTTCAGCTCCCTGAAAACCAGTTGGGCCGGTGTGACCAGTTCTGGCCCATGGATTCTGAACAGAGGTGACACAAGTCACCCCTGGGCCAAAGCAGTTCAGTGCCTCTTCTCTCGTCCCCTGCCACAGCAAACTGGGGAGCCAACAGGTATTAAATCCTCATTTATTTAACAGATTTACAGTAATATATACTCACCTGACAAGTGGACCATGAAGGCTCCTTCTGCTGGGTTCTTACTAAGCAAAGATTCATTACTTCACACACCTGACAGTTTAAGGAGCAGTCCTGGGGAGCTGGACCCCTCGATCCTTTTCATCTCTGTGCTTTTCATGATCTGCATGCTCAGCTAAGCTCCACAGGCAACGTTGTTTTACAATAATGGGAAGTGGAGATGGGGGGAAAAATAATCTCAGCAAGAGGAACAAATGCAAGAAAAAGCATTTGATTTCTAGTTTCCAAATGTTTGGTGAGAGTAGAAACGCTCAGGAACATATGCGTGAGCTTCAAAATGCAGGGCTAGCCCTCCAGGCTGGAAATATTTCACCCACTGTAGGCCCACTTGGTTTTTGAGACGCCTTTAGGACAGACCGATCTCCACAAGACAGCTCTCTGGCTTCACTCCAAGTTTTCATTTGTTTCACAATGCAATCCTGAATTTACTTTTTGTTATTGTCTCAGGAAAATCCTCTTGGTGAACATGCCTCCCAGTATGTCCCTGAAATTTCCTGGATCTGCAAAAGTGAAGAGAAAGGCTGTTTGCTTTCATGTAATCAGAGTCTCTGAAATTTAATCCTATATCCTATTTATGGTTGAGCTAGCCATTCAAAATTAAAATGAACCTTTCATCCATGTGTATCACAAATGGGCATTTATCAGGATGATGTGATTTTGCAATCCATCTGAATACGTAACCAGAATTTGTTTTTCTTTCCGTTGCACTATGTAATTACCATGCAACAATAACAAAAGTGACATGTTTGAAGAACAGATAAAATGCTGTAAATTGGCCAGTAATGGTGATATTTCCTCATCTTCTGAAAAAAACCATTTATTCTCTCTCTCAACAAATCAAGGCATTGTCAGCCCACACTCATCTTGTGGCCAGAGGGGCTCCACCAATTTCTGGACGTGAGTGAGTCCTGGAATGCAGATGAGGGCGACTAACGAAGGCTCAGTGCAGGCAGCTGGTCCTTGCTTGCCTCAATTTCTAAATCATCCATAATGGGGCCAAGACCTCCCAAGCACTAAAAAGAGCGAGCTGACATGCTGGACAAACTGTTAATTTTTTCCTGAAGAAGCTGCTATATTGCACATCTGTCACCGCGGTGCAGACTATTATTCAGTGAGTGGGGGTAGAACCTGCTGCTGCTTGTTTGTAGCTGAGTTGTTACCGCACCTGATGGAGAAGCACAATGGCGTGGGAGTCCAAACGTGCCGTGTCCTGTGTGCTTGGCGAGCGTTTCCCCCTTTCTGGAAGGCTGTCCCGTATATGAAAATACATGCAGTAGGCTGAGTGAGCTGTGTGGAAAGTTGTTAGAGGTGGTACAGGGAAAGGATGGGCATGGACAGGTGTGGGAGGGCCTTACAGAATATGGACCGCTGTTCTTCCTGCTGAGGACCTGAAGACACTGGCCATTGCATTAGAAAGACTGTGGTTTTGCACTTTGCATTTCGCATCTCTGTTGTGTGCTGCCAAGCGCTTCACATCCACTTAAAAATTATTTTGTGAACTGCATGCCTCGTACATGGAATGGGGGTTATCTGTCCTCTCCATAACGAATTACAGCTGTGCATAACGAACTTTCGAATTACAGATTAGCCACGCAGCCATCTAACAGAATCTTGAATTTCCCCGCCCCCCAAACTCATTGGCTCATCATAACTATGAAATTCTGACATCTGAAGAAATTCACCTCAGTAAGGGATATAAGAATGTGTTTGCTTTCGGGAAGCATATTTCTAAGCATAAAATGAGTTACTATACTATTTCTCATCCTTTCTGCTTTTATTAAAGAATGCTGGCTTCAGAAAGAAATGATTTCTTTGAAATTTCCTAGGAAGGTGGAAACAGGTAGAAAATAGTTTTGGGTAATCTTTTTACGTAGGATGCTATCATAATACAGTCTTGTCCCTCCCATCTTACAGCTGAAACATCAAGTATTATACATGCATTTAAAACGCTAGTGATTTATTCTGAAAATTCAAAGAAAAAAAAAGTAAAAAAACACAAAAATAGCCTTCAATTGTTACTTAACTTCATCCTTGAAAGATTAAGGCACAGGACATGCTGATAATGCAACAGGAGAGAGGTCTGTGAATCTGAGAGTGATTTAAACTGTGACAATTCAGAGACAGAAGACCCCTCTAATGTACAGATAAAGGAAAAGTGACAACAGTAGATCATAGTCATGGCAGTTAGTGGCGCTGACTCGCTGGAGACAAATCTAGATCTACTTAAAATGTCAGGTGTTTGAAGTAATGAGTCTTTGCTTAGTAGCAACCCAGCAGAAGGAGCCTTCATGGTCCACTTGTCAGTTGAGTATATATTACTGCAAGCCTGTTAAATAAATGAGTATTTAATACCTATTGGATTAAAAAAAAAAAAAAAAGAAAAAAACCCGACTTCCTCCATTAAGCCTACTTAGATTTTTTTGGGGAAAAGATAAACCTCAACACTTTAATGGGTAATACAAGATATTAAAAATAGCCCCGCTTGTTTATGAGAGGCACAATTTCCCAGAAAGACACGGAGTAGCTGTGATATTTCAAGTAGTCAGAGAGAAGACTTGGACTTGCTATGTTAGAATCACAGGATATGAGTGGAAAGAGACCTTACACCAGTTAATGTAGCCCAACGTCAAAGAAAACAAACCAAAACAGGAAAATATGGTAAAACAGGTCACAATCAGCTGTGACTAAATGTAAGTCAAATTTGTTTAGCAAGACTTTTCTCTAAAATTTTTTTGAAAAAATATCGAAAATTTCCCATGGCTTAAAGATTAACAATGAATTTAACTGCACTGTTACATGTTCATTGTCGAGAGCAGTTAAAAAAAATTTTTTTAAGTACTTTCAACTTTATTTTTTATTAGTTTAAGGTAAGAGGGAAACATTTAAAGCATGAAACAATGATTGCTTATAAATAACATTCTTAAACATATGTTTATTCTTTCATTCTTTGTTGTACTGTTAGTATACCTTCCTATCAAAAGAAAAAAAAATCTTAAAAAAAAAATCCAAAATATTCCTTGCTAAACAACTTCCTTTTACTATATCAATTTAGGTCACTGTTATTGTTTTTTTTTTTTTTAGAAAATGATTTTAAAAAGCATGTCTGGTAATTTTTCTCTTTCACTGAATATCTGCTCAAAATGAAAATATACTGAAGAGAAGCCATTGTCAGTTCAGTTAATTACAAGAATATCAAGTCACAATGTTAAAATAGGCATATGCATAAAATGCAGTATTTTGCAATTGTTTGTATATTGCATACATAGTGCTCTGTAAACACGCCTATATATACACGCTATGTTTATCTTAAACCCTACTGTCTTAACGTCTGTTTGATAGCCACAGTGTGAGTTACGAAACCTATGCATTCAAATGTTGACTAATTAATTAGTGAATTTTAATTAGCAATGAATTGTCCTTTAAAGGGGGTACCGTATAATTTAACAGTGAAAGCAAACAAATTTGAGGGGAACATAGCCTTAAGAATTATATTTGGGGAGAAGGAAAGAAGGAACGAGGGAAAGAAAGAAGGAAAGGAGGGAGGGAAGAAGAATGGAAAGAGGGAAAAGGGGATATTGAACACAGTCTGGTCAATATCAAGTATAACAACTACATAAAGACAAAAAGTTGAATTGCTCTTTTCAAGGGGCGTCCGCACTCCTGCTGTGTGTGTGGAACATGGAGAAGCTTGGATGGTACCGCTTCTCTACTTTGAGTATTGAGTCATGTCTTCTGAATAGTTCAACACTTCCATAGATGAAGACATATCTAGGGCCGGCCGAGTGGCGTGATGGTTAAGAACTGGCTTGGGACGCCAGAGGGCCCCGGTTCGGATCCCACATATGAGGGCCAGTGACACTGCCCTCCACAGCTAAGATGCTGAACAACAGTGAGTCGCCTGCGACAGCGGAGGCTTTACCCCTGTGGCAGTGGGTTGCCATGGGCTACCGCGTGTAGCCAGCAGCTGCGTGAGCGGCCGTCCAGAAGCCGGTGACTGATCTGCCTCGCCTGGGAAGAGCACAATGATGGTGCCAACTTGGGCCAGTGAAGCAACATCCTCCACAACTAGACTGAAGAACGAAAGGACAGCAACTTGTCCGGTCCCCTTTCCCCAATTCCCCAAGCGCCGTTCCCATCCCCCCAATTTCCCAATAAAAATCTTAAAAAAAAAAGAAATATCTAAGTCCTCTGTGAGCCACACAGAGGGCTTCAGATGTCAAGATTTAAGACCTTTCTTCTATAAGCTGAAAAGATAAAAATGGATTTTGATGGAGGGGTGTAGAGAACCGCACCCAAGTGGAGTGAGCGTGTTAGAGGGGCTGCTTCAGAAGAGTAGTAGTGGCCAGAACCACAACAAAAAGTATTCGTGAAGACGGCGGCATTTAATTGAGGAGTTGCCCCACCCCCAGCCCCCGGGCCAGGTGGTATATGTTCTGCTCTGTCTCACTAGGAGGGTTCACCTGGCGAAGTGAAAAACAGCAGCGAGTCCTCAGGAGTCTGGGGTCAGTCTTGCCGTAACCTTATTGTGTGGTACTCGCGGCTCCACATTTGGCTTTCCAAAATGCTGAGATTTTAGAAGATCTTCTGATTTTCAGAAAATACTGGAATTTTAAGAAAAATGTTCTGAACAGAACCTAGAGCACTATAAACTACCATAAAGAAGCTTTAAACTGGTATACAGTTCCCCCCAGCTTTTCCCGCTTATATCGAGAATGAGCAAGAAAAAGCATTTTTTTAAAAAAAATGTCTAATTTCTAAGTAACAAATTGGTAGAAAGTAATCGTACATCAGGGTTACTTTATCCAATAAGAATGCTTCAAAAGAGCAGCTCCCCTGGTAGTTTATAGTTCCTCTCCCTGACCTGTCATCTTACCAAAATAACCCTAAGAGAGAAGGTAATTCTTAAAAGAAATGGATCCATTTGGCAAACCATCAAGGCTTTCAAATAGCAGCTGACCTTCCCCCCACACCTGGGAGACCACCTGGGAAGGGTCTATTGCATGCACAAACCTCTTCTTCCCCTTTAAAAAACTCCTGATTGGCAAATTTTCAAAAACCGATTACAGTGGAGCACAGAGGAATTTTGGGGGCAGTAGAACTACTCTGTAAGATACCTGTCATTATACATTTGTCCCAGTCTATAGCAATGTACCACACCAAGAGTGAACTGTCATGTCAATCATGGGCTTTGGGGGATAATGACGTGCCCTGTGGGTTTATCAGCTGTAACACATGCAACCCTCTGGAGGGGGAAGTTGATGGGGAGGGGAGACTATGCATGCGTGGGGGCAGAGCAGATTATGAGAAATGTCTGTGACTTTGCCTTAATTTTGCAGTGAAGCTAAAATTGCTCTTAAAAAAAATACAAAACAAAGCCTTAAAAAAAAACCATTATAAAGGTGATTCACATGTGTTATCTTGGCCTTGACTCAACCAATAAGGGCTATTACAAATAGAATACTATCGTTAGTCCGTAATAATGAAGATGATGACAAATTCACATCTTCTAGAATCTTTGACATTATGAAGCAGGTGATTCGAAATAACAACACGAGGCACATCATAAAATGACTTGCTTTGCTTGGGTTTAAAGTAACTGCTTAGATGTCAGAAAAGGGCAAGTCGGTACCATTCATTTTCATTTATCATGCAAATGGATTGGATCACTGCCAGAAATCCGAATTCTTAGGAGATCCATTTAAATCTTAATATAAATTGATTCCATATTCTAACTTACACCAATGGTTAAAATTTAAAATCAGTTTACTACAGTTGAGTTGATGTTAAAAGAAGTAATATCAACCTTTGGGAAGGGAGAGGTAGAAGTAAGTCTAGATTAATAGAATTTACAGTTCAGGCATGATGAATTTGAAAAATACATTTTTCTTTCAATAATTATTTTATGTTCTAAATGAGGTAAAATTGATAAAATATGCACTAAAGTCATGTTGAGGGCACTCTGGTGGTAACAGTGAGGTTCATTTTTGTGAAAATGTCAGGGGGAGACATTAATGGCGGTTTGTCAACTGTGAACTTCATACTACATTGTCCAAGGAGATTCATGGGTATTATCCCATTTGAGAAAACTCGCTAAACAAAAACAAACAAACAAGTTCAAGAAATACGAAGTTCGGAAGCCTGTCAATCAAAGATTTGCTTAGGACTTCAATGATGCGATGACAGGTCTGTTGGGTTACCATCGATGGGGGTGCTATGAAACCCAGTCCTTTCGGGCCCGTCCCACTTTAGAAACCCACGGGTACGCTCACATTTGCTCGGGCGTCGCACGCATACATGAATGAATCAAGCTACAAAAAGCATTAGATGTTATTAATGTACGAGATCCAAATAAATAAGAGATGCGCTGTTGTTTATACCTACACACAGCTGAAAATTGCCAAAAAAATTTGAAAAGGTCAAGATTTGGACGTTAGCACCATGAACTGGGATGAGACCCCCATTTTCTATCACCGTGGCAGGACCGGGCGCAGTTAGGAAGCTAGAGTGACAAGTTCGGGGCCACGTAGATTTCTGCTTCAAAAACAGAAGCCATGTTGTACTTGTAGAACAATGGGATGTATAGAGTGAATAGAAAGTGTAGGACGTTTGTTTCTTCTTGGCTTTTCTCCTTAGGCGGATTTTCCTGGTGTGGGGGTCGTGGCTGCAGGAGGGCTTTTTGGGAGAGGATATCCGAGTCCTAGCCCTTTTGGCCTCTGCAAGGCTTGAATTGGCTCAGCAATCCCCTTGCCATCGCGTCCAAGGCCCGAGCCAGGCGTCCAGCCCATATTTTGCAGCATCCGGTTTCCAATGTTGTTTTCTAAGATGGGCTGGGCGTTTTCTCCCACAAACCCTGAAATTATAAGAGGACCAAAGATATTAGTAGGGACACAGATGGAAATCTTCCCAGACTAAGAAAACCATGTTCTCTTACGTTTTCCTTTCAACAACGTACCCGGGGGGAGCTGTTTGTCCATCTTTGGGTTAAGTGACTTGTAGCAGAGGAATCGTTGGAAAAACCATCTCGGTTAGTTTCAGCTTTACCGCTTAGTAGCTGATGAAGCTCTTTAACCCCCTGGGCTTTTGTTTTCTTCATATAAAGAACAGGAGTAAAGGAATGTACACTGCCTGCCTACCAGGAAGTTGTCAGGGCCAGATGTGACCATATACGGGCAGAAGGTGCTCAGTAAATGACCAAGTACTTTACAAAGACAATTCCTTTCATCATCATGTTAGCCTCATGGCTGATTCTGAAAATCACCAGCTTACATCGTAGTATCTCACGTTTGCCCAGGGCCTTGACAGTCAATGAAACCAAAACTAAAACCAAACCAAACAAAAAGGACCATTGATGGCATCCTTAATGTCCAGGGATGGCTGACACAGTTATAAGCTTCCTGTTGTTATTTGTTATTCATCTGTAACTTGTACATCCTTTCATGTTCTTCTTCCTCTGCCTTCCATTTCTATGGCTTAGCGACCAGAGACGCAGGCAAGGAGGAGAAAATAGAGGAAAGGAAGTTGCATATAACACCTTGAAAGAACTAGTCCTTCTCATTTACCTCCGTCCCTCTGTTCCTACCTACCTTCCTTCCTTAGCTTGGAAAAGGAGGTTGGCTAGCGCTTACCGTGAGTTTTAGGAATAGCAGTTGTTTCCCCATCATCTCAGCAGAGACACTGAGAGAAGCATCTACTGTAAGCATTTTGTATTCGATGACATTTTCAAAGACTTATTTTTAATTTAAACTGTCTCATAGGCTCCTGTGGAAAAACTTGAGCATATCTACTGAGCATCTGATTCTAGGGGAAAATGCAGACGTACTAAATATCTTCTGAGAAATGAACAAGTGTCGTAAAAGTCAGGGCATCACAAGACCCTGAGTGCTTTCCTTCAGCTGCAGGCTTGGCCTGGGTCTGTCTGCCTCAGCTCTGGCACAGGTAGGCTCTCCGTGACTGGTCCATTTCTGTTCATTGTGTAGCAGCAGCTATTAGATTATGGTGTATGAAAAGGGAACGTAGCAAATCTGGAGATGACCAGACACAAACTATCAGAAGTATCTCAGTTCCCAGAGCATTTCTTAGGGTTACGCTCCTTGCAGAAGAAAGAAGTGATAATCCAACTAATATCGGAGGTTGTGTAGGAAAAAAAGGGGTGAGGGTGTCTTGAAACAGCCTTTGTTTAAGTGAGAACATATTCAGCCTAATCTCCTATACCAAGGCTTCCCCAGAACGCAGGTTCCAAGCTCACAGGGCTGTAGCGTTTGCCCACCGCGCCCTCCCTGGGCCCCGGGTCCAGCTTCCTTCTGCTCTGAAGTTGGGCTGTGTCTTCCTACATAGTTTGAATGTTGAAATGGAAAGTTGATGACAAAATCATTCTCAAAGACTTGTTGGTTAGATGTCTCTCTGGCACCATCTCCCGGCCCCTTCACCCCTTTTCCATCATCATCATCTTCATCATCATCATCATCATCATCATCATCATCATCATTTTTTCCTCCCTGACTCGGGATGATGGCTGCATGTATAGTTGGGACTCTGTCCTACTCCCTCCCTAAGCTGTTTAGGAGGGTGACACAAGGCACAGAAGGCTCCTCAAGCACCAATAACAATAACACAAATATTACCTTGTGGGATCACAGAATATAGCGTTCTATTTCTTGACCTGGGTGGTGGTTACGCAAATGGCCAGTTTATTATTGTTCTTTACACGTCCATGTATTATTCTCTGGCATAGTCATTTCACAGGAAAAAAATAAATAGTAAAAGAAATGCCAGGGTTCAACCAACAGTCTACCTTGTCTGGTAACTTGCGTCTGGCATCCTGGGGGCATAGCCAGTGGGTTATTCCTCGTGATTCTGGCTTACAGAAGAAGAAATATGCAAAGTGCTCGAGATGAGTTTTCATCCCGACACTGTCGTATTTACCATGGAGTTATCATCAGTGGATTTTCAAAGCTCTTTATTGAACACTGTGGTAATCTCAGTCTTCAGTGTGCTTTAGAACCGAGAATAGAAGAGATGGTGTTGCCATTTGCTAAATCCCTGATAGGGAGTAAGGTTAGCACAATAATGACTTGGTGGGGGATTTATCCAACTGCCTCTTAGCTCACTGAAATAAGTATCTTAACATGTAATAGAAAAAAACCTTCAACTGCAAACAGCTTGAATGGCAACAATTAATATCAAGGAAAAATGCTTGACTAACATTATTTACTGCTTCACAAGGGAAAAATGTGTGTGTGTGTACAATCTCTGTATGCATATATGTGTACACAAAATGTGTGTGTGTGTGCATATATGTATGTAAAGTTCAGATATAAAATGTGTTTAATGTTTAAGAAAAAATATATGAGGCCAATTTAAAACATCCCCACAAAAACTGCTAAATTGTGGTAAGTTTTCAGTTCCAAAGTGAACAAATGATAATTGATTTGCCATCATAATTCTTAAATAATTGTTTCACTATCATCATTTTAAAATACTGATATTTCAAGCATGGTGGCCCAGGAGTGGCATCCCGATTCTTCCCCCTGCTTGCATTCTTGAAAAGGTAGACAAGAGTCCATTCTCTCTCTTTTTCACATGCTGGTTTCATGTCTCTTCTTAATAAAGTATTATCTTGTACTTGGAAGAGAAACAACAACAACAACAACAACAACAAGAAAACAAAAACAGGAGGAACACGAAATTTCTCAAATGCTAAATCTTTCCACGTAGAAACACAGATTCCTAAAAAAGGGAACAAAAAAGCAATGGATTTTCTGTACAACCTTAAAAAAAAACAAACACGCAACAGATATTCATTTTTCATGGAAAATGATTCTAGAGTGAGATCTGTTGGTCTTTCACCCCCATTTTTTTTTTATGAGATTAAGACATGGGAGGGAACAACTCCATCTCAGCACCTCGTACTCCAACCATAATTTCCTTTTCTTTTGCTCCTGACAGCGCTAAATCCTTTAAGTCCCTTCCTAGAAGGCTGTCCTCCTGCCTGGGCAGTTTTAGCAATTCGTAGCCTGCTAACCCATCCGCACACTCCCCTCCCAGCCCCCTTGATGCTGGGTCTCATATCTCTTATAGCTGAGTCCGTCCTTTCCCCGCAAATCTTCCAAAGAGCATTGTGGACGGCAATTCACTGGCGTAATTGGCTCAAGAGATGAAAATCTTGTATCAGGCTCTCTTAGCTGCTAATCTATCCAGCTGACTGCAAGCCTAATTGGCAGCTTGTTTAGCAATTTGGCTCCTAAAGTGTTGTATTGATGTTGGATAAACAGCCAATGGAAGGGGAGGTGACACAGGCAGCCTGATGCAGCCCCCTCCCTGTATTCAGACGCACTCAGCAGTTCTCACTCCCTCTGCCTTCCCTTCCTCTCTCTCCCATTACTCGACTAGCCAGTCGAGGGGCAGGGCTACCGTTATCAGTGATGCTATTAAAATGGCAAATTCTAACCCTCTCCTCTGTTCTCAGTAACTCATTTAGGAACATGAGTATTTTATTACTGTTAAACAGCATTAAGCACAGTTGGAGCTGTGAGAAAGTGGTAGGTGTTAACTCCTTTCTGTCAAGTGTTTTCATTATTTCATTTCTTAATATATACAGAAAGCTTTATTAATTCAGACCATTCTGTATTTTATCTGCAATACTGCACACATTTGTCATGTGAATTTTGTTAAATGAAATCAGTGCAAGTAGTTAGCTTAAAAATACAAGGCACTTACTTTTCCAATAATGAAAATTTAAGGTAAAACTAGTTTCTAGGTTTTTTTTTTCCTTAAGTGGTGAAAAAGTTGTAGAGAATAAAAGACATGATCTGTATTGACATGTTTGGAGAAGGGAGTGTGTTTATTAACAGGTGTTTTGGTTATCCAGAAATATATTTCTAATGCAATGATTATGTATCAAAGAAAAGGGTTTTCAGAAAACTAAAAAAAAATCTCAAAATAAAAGTGTATTCGTTCTTTTTTAAAAAATTTTTTGCTTTAATTATTTTGTTTGTTTTTAAATTGGGGAACAGTGTTTTTCCAGGACCCATCAGCTGCAAGTCAAGTAGTTGTTTCAGTCTAGTTGTGGAGGGAGCAGCTCATTGGCCCATGGGGGGATCGAACTGGCAACCTTGGTGTTATGAGCATTGCGCTCTAACCACCTGAGCTAACCGGCCGCCTCAAAAGTGTATTGGTTCTGAAGGCCCACAGGGATGTTTGCTGAAACCTATCAGGACCATTTATGGTCTGCCCACTGTATCTGGCACGTGGTTTACTTGTTACGCATGTGACATTCATTATCTCCATTCCTCATAACAACTGTGCCAGGGGGCAATTATAATGGACCTCAGAGAGATGAAGTAACTTGACCATTACCACACAGTGAGTTGGTAGCTAAGATTCGCTCCAAAAGCCTACACTTGCCATTCCATGCACTGCTTCCTTATGAGAATTAATGGCACATAAATAATTTCAGTAGAGATGATGTTTCTAGCCATTTAAAAAAATTAATTGGATGATATGTGAATTGTAATATTAACTTCTCTCAGTTTGCATATGGACAACATACAGCATACACACATTGAAGTACTTGGATAACCCAGAATATAATAATGTTTATAGGTCTTACAGATAACTAATGCTTCCATCTCTGTATTTCTTTTGATCTTCCTCATCAGACTGTAAGGTTATTACTATTGGCTCCACTGTATAGATTAATTTAGGACATGAGTCTAAATGTTACTTTTTTACTGACTGAACATTAAAATACAGTCTCACCAAATTTTCTACTATGTCGTTTCTTCTGCCACATGTCCCCAAATGACTGAGACTGTATTCTATTCACAAGTTTGAAACTCCTAGAATAACTGG